GTCAAGTGGCAGTGACAGCTCTGTCCCAGGCAGGTGGGGAGGGGAGCACTGGCTGCACACGGGGTGATGCCACAAGGCAGGGATGGAAAGGGAGCCCCTGGGCTCTTCCCAGGAGAGCCTGGGACGTGGTAAGAGAAACCCTTCTCCTACAAGCCCTGTGAACATCCAAACACACCAAATTTAGAACCTTTTCATCTGCTGCCCGACATCAGAGGGGGCTGCTGGAGGGCAGGAGGGCATTTCTCAGCTCGTATATTATGACAGCCCCTGCCTCCCTCGCCCCCTTGCTGGGCAGGACAGTGATTAATGGGTGAGCTGGGCTGGAGCAGCTCTGAAGGTGACCTTCAGGACTGGCCAGTGCTGCCCTGCAAATCCCTTCCCTGCATGGACTGCAGCACACAGGGAATGGGGAGCAGGACAGGAGTTTTGCTGCTCTGACTTCTCTCCACTTCCCACCTTGTGATGATTCCCCAGCAGTTTGGGGGTCCCTGCATGGGATCCCTTGCCCAGGGACACGGAGAGAAGCTTGGCTTGGTCACAGCCCTCCAGGACAGACGTCAGTGTCACTGCTGAGCTTTCCATTTACCTCCACCCTTCGCCTTGCCCTGAGAACTGGGAACTTGGACTCCTGCCCACAAGAAAAAGCCACCAAAGCCCTTCAAAGTAGAGGCTTTCTCCTCATAGACCCAGAGGGCACTGCTGCCCTGGCACCATGTCCCTAGGAGCGTCCTCCAGCCCCCTGGCCTTGCAGGGAAGGTGGTGGGGATGGCTCCAGGTCGTTCCATGTGTCCCACATGGGGCTGAAGGACACCCAGGTGCAGAGGGCACCCTGGCAGGACTGCCTCACCTTTTCGATCCAGTACAAAATGAAACCACCCCTCCAAAGCACTCAGGAGTTGTTGTCTGACTGCCTTAGGCTGCAGGGGGAAAGAAAACGGAATTATTTGGAAAGACAGCATTGCCCACCCATGCTCTGTGCTGGTGTCACAACCAGGACTGGGTGAGGCCAGGAGCCCAAAAGGCTGGGAAAGGTCAAAGGGCAAGCACAGGGGTCACGGAGGGAACAGGACATGTGGCCAGGCAGGATGAGGGGACCCACAGCCTGGTAGTGCCTCGGTGGTCCCTGCAGCATTCCAGCCTGGTTCTGTCCCCCTCTGTCCTACGGGGACCTGACTGACCCCATAGGTCCCAGAGGGGCTCACTGGGACCAGGGTCTACCCGTGCCTCTCCAGCCATCCCCCAGTGCCACCAACGGGGACCAGACACGAGGCACCAGCTCAGGGAGGCACCGGAGCCGCCACCGGTGCAGGGACGGAAGGAAGCGGCTCTTTCCAGCCCGGGGAGCGGCAGAACAGGCTTTTTCCATCAGGTGCTCTGTCTCCAGCAGCAGGAGGCAAAGGAAAACAAAAGGCACGAGAGGAGCGGGACAGGAGGAACCTGCGCGCCTGGATCGTGTAAGCAGCAGCGCGGAGCTGTAAACGCCGGGCGGGTGATGGATGTGCCGGAGGGATGTGCCGGACGAGCATCTTCCCCTGCTCCGCTCCCCCCGGAGCCTCCTGTCCGGGGTGCTGCTGTCCCCCAGCCTCAGAGGAGAGCTCGGCTCAGCTCTGCCTCCCGACGCCCAAATCTGGCCCAAACCTGGCTCAAATCTGGCCCAAATCTGTTATCTGCTGCGTGCGATCCAAAGGGTGTGATTTACAGCCCCGAGCATCGCCCAGCTCCCCGCCCGGGGAGGCAGAAGAGCCGCCGGGGAGCTGGATTTGGGCTGTATAAATAATATCGTGCAGTGATGCACAGAGACCTCGGGCTGCCAGCGTGGTCACCCCTCCTGCCCGCCCCACCCTGGCATCACAGCGGGGCAATGCCCCCCTCGGGAAAACCCATCCTGCCAGGATGACAGCTTTTGGGACAACGGGGGCACAGAAGAGGATGGGTCCTTGTCCCACAGCAGCCTCCGGGGGGAGAGAACCCATCCTGCTCGATGCCAGCAACAAATTCCTGGCCGCCCTGTCCAGCCGTGCCGTGTCTCTGTGTTTATGCAATGGCAGGAGCCGGCAGAATTAAGCACTTTTTGTTTTTCCCTTTTTTGAGAATGGGGAGTTTTAATTCCCACCAAACAATGTTCTTTTTCCAGCAAGCTTAAAATAAGCCTTTTTGGCTCGGGTGTCTCTGGAGCCGTTGTGCAAATAAGGATGTGAGCTCTGTGCTCTGTCTGGGCCAGCACTACCTGCCAGGGGGGTTTTAGGGGGACATGGAGGCCCCCAGGCCTGACCCTCCTCCCACTGCAGCACAGAGCTGGCTCTGGCCAGGACAGCTCGCTGGAGCTTTCCTTTGATGAGTGGAAAATGTTGCTCACACAGAGATAGGGATGAGGCCGTGCTGGAGCCTCCTGCCAGACCCGCCTGTCTGGCCCCGGGCTGGGTGTGTGCTCAGGTGTGCTGGAGCCTCACAAACCCCATGAGGAGCCGGATTCTGGAGCAGCCTGGGTGCCTGGGGAAGTGGCCATGCCCTGCAGAGTGGGCACCAACAGTGATGCTGCCCATTGCCCAGAGCAGATGGAGGGGACTGCAGACCCCACACAGGCTCCCACCCCTACAGGGACATTCCTGCTTGTGGGAAACTCCACAAAACTATTTTCTGCCAGCGTGGAACTGTGGCCTGACTTCCCCCTGTTCCCTTACCTGCAGTCCCCGTGGTGTGCCCAGCACATCCCTGCTGCCAAGCACGAACGTGCCATGACACAGGTGCCCTGCATCTCCTGGGCTGGGGTGGGTTCCATGAGGATTAGCTGGTAAATAAGCACCTGGGTTTACTCAGGGCAGGTGGAGCTTTTCTTCACGGCCTCTCCTGCCCCATTTGGATCCCTGTTCCCCATCTCCAGGCCCTGCTCTACACCCAAATTTCCCATGGCAGTGTGGCAAAGCGGTGACAGCAGCAGAGATGAGAACGTACAAAACCTGAGAGTGCCTCTCCCCTCTGGGTAACCCCCACCCAGGAGAGCCCTGGGGGGGCTTCCAGCACATCCAGCCAGCCCCTCAGGGATGGGCACACAGAGCCCTCCTGGCCATGACCCAGCCTCTCCATCCCAGCCCCTTCTCTTGGCCAAGGCCGGTGGGGACAAACCTCCCTCGCCCGCCCCCTCCTCCCCCAGCTTATCAAATTTGGCCATGTCTGAAAAGGCCTGGTTTCCTTTTCACCAAAAAAGATCAAAACTGGGTAATTGGCTGCCGGCACAGATGCCTCTGCGCCTCTCTCATGTGTAAACAGCATTGCCGAGCGCTGACACAACGCAGGCGGCCGCGGCACTCGCAGGCGCCCCGGGGCTGCCACCGGCCCTTCTGGGGTGCCACAACACGGGGTGAAGTCGCTGGGTGCAGGCAGGGGTTGGCTCAGCACCCTAAAAAATGCTGGTGGCCAAAGATCGGGTGCTGCCCTACACCTGAAGCACAGGCAGGTGGTGGCAGGGCTCCTCTGGCAGGTCCGGAGGTGACAAACAGGACACTCTGTGCTCAGATCTCAGCCAAGGGGACAGCAAACGCTGTGCTGGGGCTGTCCTTGAAGGTGTTAACGTGGGATGGGAGCAGCCAGGCTGGTCCCTGCTGCATCCCAGGGCTGGCAGGAGCAGGGGGACAGCGTGAGTTGGGGATGCAGAGACCTTTACCCTATTTACGGGGTTTTCTAAAGGCACAGCTCATGGACTGGGATAATGAGGTGGAAATTTCCCTCTGCCCTACAAAGCTCAAGGGCCTTCAAATCCCTGAGGATGCAGAGCGAGGCGGGAGGAGAAGGGAAACATCCAGAGCTGCCAGCAAAGGAGCAGGGCAGAGCCTGCTGCCCGGGAGCGTGAGGAACAGCGCCGGGCATCCTCCTGCGGCTGGAGAGGAGGAGAGAGGGATGGAGGGAGGGATGGAGGGGCGGAGGGATGCAGGGAGGGATGGAGGGGCGGAGGGATGCAGGGAGGGATGGAGGGAGGGATGGAGGGGCGGAGGGATGCAGGGAGGGATGCAGGGAGGGATGGAGGGAGGGATGGAGGGGCGGAGGGATGCAGGGAGGGATGGATGGAGAGGAGGAGGGATGCGGACGGGAAGGACGGAGGGCTGGGAGCTGTCGGGTGGCGGACAGCACCATCGCGTGGCACTTGACCGCAGGGACAGCGACAGCTCAGAGCAGGGATGCAGTGCCTGCCTCTGTTTCCTGGACAGGGAATTACAGCCAGCACCCCCATGCCTCAGTTTCCCCCACCGCAGCACCCTGCAAGGCGGTGCTTGGCTCCGGGGGGGACAGAGCAACATCCACCAACACCCAGAACCCACCAACACCCAGAACCCACCGACACCCAGAACCCACCGACACCCAGAGCCCACCGACACCCAGAGCCCCGCAGAACCACGGCCAGCTGTGGGCACAGCTGCCGTGTCCCCATGGCAGGAGCTGCAGGACAGCAGAAGGGGGTTTGGGGCCAGACAGACCAGGGGTACAGGGATAGCATCATCTCATTGCTGGGCAGAAGGGTCTGGGGGCTCCTGGGGACAGCAGAGCTGCTGCTGGTGGTGGCACAGAGGTGACAGTGGGCTCTCAGCCCCAGGTTACCTGCTCACCTTGCAGGACACAGCCACCCCTGCTCCTCCTGCTTGCCCCTGCTCTGCCAGCCCAGCAGCCGTGTCCTTTCAGCCCTGTCAGGGCTGTGACCGTGCTGGTGACACCAACAAAGCCCAAACCTCCTCCCCAGAGCTTGTTATTGCCAAGAGAGCCCCTCAGGGCTGCCTGCTCCAGAGGGGACTCGCCACTGACCACAGTCGCCACCGCCAGCAGAGCCAGCGCCTGGGGCGGCGACCGGTGGCCAAGTCCCAGACCACGCTGGCCCCCTGCCCTGTCTGCTCCGAGCCTCTCTGGCACCTTGGGGACCGGACACACCTCTGGTGGGGCACAGCCAGGGGCTGGGGCTTTCCCTTTTTAGCTGCCTGGCTTGCAGGGACCGGCCACACTGCAGGACAGCGGCCATGGAGCGGGCTCCAAACCTGGTAGGTGCCTCCTCGGCAGCTGAGGGCTTGCTCCTCATTTTCCTTCCTTAATAGAATTATTTGCATGCTGTTTACCTGGGGTTGTTTGCTTTGGAGGTGCCCGCTGTGGCCTGCCAGGGCCATTGCTCCCGTGCCCAACAGGGTGAGGATGCAGCAGTGACAGCAAAGCCACCCCAGGCCAGCTGGACAGTCCAGCTCCGGCCGGGGAGAGCAGCCCTGGCCGAGCATTCCCTGCCCCAGGGCACTGCACACCCACGGGCAGGGTCTGGGGCTGCCTGGGCCACTGCAGGGATGTGAAAAGCAGGGAGCAGGACTACAGAAAGCAACTTTGTTCCCTGCTGGGCAGCATGCCGGGTGGCAGCACAGGGCTGCTCACCCAGCGAGGCCGGAGGGAGAAGGGAAGGAGAAGAACCATCTTTTCTCTCTCACCGTCCTCAGAGCACAGAGGGAGGAGAGGAGAGTTTGGATAAAGATCCCATTCTTCACGGTCTCATCTCTGTAAGGCTCCTTTTAAAGCAGAGGCTGCCCAGGTACAGCCTGAGCTGGGTCCCTCCCAGCTCCCAACTGGGCAGGGAGGGGACTGGGCACAGCTCAGGCAGGGACACTTTGGGCAACACAAACTGCCAGCTGCAAGAAGGGCAGAGAGACATCAGCTCACCATGGCTGTGTGCCCACCATGCCTGCAAACTGCCCTCAGGTGTTTCTCACCTGCAGGCCAGCCCTGCCTTTGGCACTGAATGTGTGCCACCCCCAAGTCAATGTGGTTCTGCCATCACCTGGGAGGATGGAGAGCTCCCCTTCCATGCCAGTCCTTCAGCCCAAGCTCACTCACCATCCTCCTTCCTCCTCAGCTTCTCCTCTGCATCTTCACCTTCGCCATGGTCCTGGTTCCCGAGGCCAAGGACCAGGGCAAGGCAGCCAAGGGCAGGAGAAGGGGCCTGGCACGGCCACCCACAGCCCCCCCTGCCCTGGCCTGGGCCCCGGATGAGCCCTACACCAGCATGGCAGAGTATGAGCACAGCATCCAGGACATGGTGCGCCAGCTGAGGAACAGCTCCGAGCCGGGGGACACCAAGTGCCAGGTGAACCTGAGGCTCTGGAGGTCCAATCGCAGGAGCCTGTCCCCCTGGGCATACAGGTGAGCTCGGGGCAGGCTCTGCAGGCACAGCCCCTGTGCTGGCACACCTGCAGAACCCATTTCACCCCAGACACCCATCCCTCCAGCCTTGTCCTGCTTTTTCTCCTCCTCCAGGATAAACCACGATGCCACACGGATCCCAGCAGACATCCCCGAGGCCCGGTGCCTCTGCACTGGCTGCATCAACCCCTTCACCATGCAGGAGGATCGCACCATGGCCAGCATTCCCATCTACAGCCGCCTGCCCGTGCGCCGCCTGCTCTGCCCTGGCCCGCCCGAGCTGGCCCACAGGCCCTCGGGCAAGAAGAAGTGCCACAAGAAATACCAGATGGTGATGGAGACCATCGCTGTGGGCTGCACCTGCATCTTCTGAGGCTGCAAAGCTACCCCCTGCAGCTCCCTGCAGCTTGCTCTTGCTTCCCCCAGCTTGCCCAGCCCTTTGGGAGAGGCCACCTGGCTGGGCATCAAGGTGAGGGGAGGTCCCTGTGCAAGAGATCCTCAAAATTCCCCTGCAGACCCCATCAGCCTCAGCCCCAGCAGCTGCCTTGGGGTCACCCAGTCCCAGACACGGACTGCCCCCAGGGAGGAGCTCAGCTATGGGCTGGGGAGAAAAGGAGCCAGCTGCCCATGAACCAGAATCAGGACCAGGACCAGGATCAGGGTCAGGATCAGGACCAGGACCAGGATCAGGATCAGGCCTCCTCCCTTCCCTTTGTTCAAAGTCTCCATTTCCCTTTGTTCGCTCCTTCGCTGCAACAGCTCCAGCAATACCCAGCCCTCCTGTCCTTCCCAGCCCTCCTGTCCTTCCCAGCCCTCCTGTCCTTCCCAGTCCTCCCCAGTCCTTCCCAGCCCTCCCACAAGTTCCTCTGTGCCAGGCTGGGCAGTCCAAGGAGCGGGGCGAGCTGCTGGTGGCTTTTGGCAGCTTCTGAGGTCTCAATAAAGTGCATTGCTGGCCCTGGTCTGAGCTGCCCCTGCCTTGGCCCCTCACGCTGCCCCTCTCTGCCTTGCCCAGCTTCTCCCACTGAGGCTCTTCTGACCCCAAACACAATCCTGGACACCTCCAGAAATGCAGAGCACCTGGCAGGACCTGGGACAGCCCTTCCTGCATCCCTGGGGCACAGGAGCAGGGTCAGGTTCCAGACATGGGAGAGGCCGTGGGATCTCCAGCCCTACCTATGAGTTTTCCAAGGGCAAAGCCAGGAAGGCAGGAGTGACTGGTGGGAACTGGGAAGCTCAGGGGGGACCCTGCCAGTGCCAGCCAGCCTCAACCCTGAAAGCCCCCCAGGATCCCTCCCAAACACAGTGACCCTTTTTCAGGAGAAGGCACAGGCTCCTTTCCAGTCGAGCCCTGGGTGAGGGAACAGGGAAACTGAGGCACAAGGCACAGACACATCAACAACACTGGGCAGGACCTGTATTCCTGAAGGCCTTCAAGTCACTGGGACACAGCCTGTCCCTCGTCCCCCAGCCCCCCTTGGCCTCCTCAGGGCAATAAATACTCCCCTAAAGGCTACCCCACACCAAAGCTCCTGGCCCACCACCCCCACGGGTGTCACAGCTCCGTCTTCACCTTGTGCATCAAGTCCTTCTGGTCGATCTTCTCCAGCTCCTGATGCCAGCGGTTGTAGGCCAGCAGGGCCACATTTTTGGCAGCCACAGCCACCATCTCCATGGAGCTGGCCACCCACTCCACACCGCTGAGGTAGAAGAGATTCTCGTGGAGCACGATGGGCGGCAGGGCCTTGGCGGAGTCGTAGCGGGGGTACGACTGCCACTCTGCCACCTGCACTGAGTAGTAGGACCTGAAGAGGGTCTTGAGCTGCTGCTTGTCCAGTGGCTGCTGGGACAGGACTCGCCACACCGCGGCCTCCTGGGGCTGCTTGCGCCGGAACGCCGCCGAGATGTTGACGGGGCAGATGTTGTCCATGGCGTGGAAGAAGAGGTCGGGGGTGTCGGTGGTGAGGATGCTGGTGAAAGGGAACAGCTTAGGGTCAGGGAAGCCAAAGTAGGAGGAGTTGAGGTAGCCGTGCACCACGGAGGTGACGGAGGGATGGAAGGCTCCGGGGAAGTCGGCGATGGGGGGGTCGAAGTTCTCGAAGGTGAAGTTGCTCCTGCTGGGGTGCAGCGGAGTTGTCACCACCACCATGTCGTAGAAAGCTGAGCCCTGGCCTTCAGTGCTCTCATAGTGGACCTGGTACAGGGCTCTCCCTTCTGAAAAGAGACAGGGGACAGTCAGGAGCAGCCCTGAGGCCCCCTGACCCTCTTTCTTCCAACCTGACCTCCATCCCCTGGTTCTCCAGCACACACCAGTGCTGGACCACAGCACCTGATGGTTGTGGATGAGCTGCTGATACCTTAGAGAGGCAAAAAGGTTTCGTTGAGACTCTGGGAAAATGTTTCCAGAGAAGCCCAGCCTAGTGGGGGCAAAGACTGGGGGAACACAGCCCACATCCCAGACCCCAGATATTTTTCTGCTGTGGTGGAAGGGGGTGTGGGCCTGCAGCAAGGCTGGTGCCACAGGAGAACCTGATAGACCTCAGCAGGGACGAAGGGCAACCTCAGGGCTGAGGTTGGTACTGCAGAGTCCCCACTGGATCAGACAAAGGGAGAAGGACAGACACCCAAGCCCTCTCCCAGATGCCTCACCAGGACCAGGATGCCCCCCAGCCACAGCATTCCCATGCTGCCAGCACCAACCTCCCACCCGGGTGCACCTAGAGCCACACCCGTGCCCAGGCTTACCTGAGCTGTGCAGGGAGATGCCAGTCACCCTGGCTGAGATGACATTGGCCTTGGTGAGCTTCAGCAGACCTGAACACACCAGCTTATTCCCTCCTTCCACCGCCCAGGTGCTGCCCTGGGCTCCCGCCAGCGACATGGCCCCTGCAGAGAGGAACACGAGGGTGGCTCCACAGCCTGGCCCCTGCAGAGGGGACACCGAGGAGCGTCCCACAGCAAGAGGAGGTGGCTTCACCTGCGAAGGCGGGCACCAGCACGGACTGGCCGTAGCTGGAGCGCAGCACGGCGGCGATGACATCATCCACGAAGCGCTGGGTGACACCGACCTCCAGCAGGGACTCGGCCACCGAGCGCTGGGTCATGTTCACAAAGGCCTCACCCCCCAGCGAGCGCAGCAGCTCCTCCAGGCTGGAGAAGGCGTAGCCGTGTGCCTGGTACTTGTAGATCCTGGAGGGGACAGGAGCAGGTGGCACCCGGTGATGCCCCAGTGCCAGGGTGGTGGTGCCACCCCTGCAGCCCCACAGGCTCTCCTACCTCATGAACTTCTCCATCACCTCCTCCACCCACATCTGCAGGCGCAGGAAGCTGATGCCATAGTGCCACCAGAGGCGGAAGAGGTTGAGCAGGTACCAGTCGGTCTCCTCCAGGACGAAGTGCTCCCCGCTGAAGATGGCGCTTTTCCCGGCCACCTCCCGCCGGTGCTTGAGGCCTGAGGGGACACAAGGGGACCACGTGTGGCTGGCCCTCCCTGGGGCTAGCTGGCTTCTGGGAAAGGCCAGCACTGGACACGTCCCAGCAGGAAAATGGGCAAAGATGTTCCTGAAGGAGCATCAGGAATAAGAGACCCCAAGGGTTCCCAGCCGTATCATGGTGGGTGCCTCATGGAGCTGCTGCTGCCTGCTGGGACAGACTGGGAGGAGTTTGTGAACACTAATTCCACTAGGAGGCCCTGACGGTGACCACCCCATCCCTTTCACAACAGGCAGGAGTGCACAGACAGCGAGGGGATCACCGCATCCCTGGGGTGCCAAGGTGGGCTGGCAGAAACCCTCCCCACTACCCCAAGCACGGAGCCCGGGGGTGTCCAGTTCCCTGGGACGCCCAGTCTCACCCAGGATCTTGACGAAATCCTGCATGTGGAGGCTGAGGGCGTGGATGGAGGCTCCCCGGCTCTCATACTGCTGCTTGTTGACGGTGACGGTGGCCAAGCGCCCGCCCACACTCGCCGCTTCGTACACGTCCAGCTGCACCTGCGGCCCGAAGTGCTGCTGCAGGAAATACGAGGTGGCCGAGCCCCCCAGCCCGGCGCCCACCACGGCTGCGGGCGAGAGCGGCGAGAGGCCGGGTCAGCAGCGCCCCGGGGCTGCGGGGGTCCCGCAGCTCCCCCGGCCCGGTGGGGAAACGCCAGCGCCGCCTGCGAGGGGGGATGCGCGGAGATGGGGATGCAGGAGATGGGGATGCAGGGATGGGGATGCAGGGGATGGGGATGCAGGAGATGGGGATGCAGGGGATGGGGATGCAGAGGATGGGGATGCAGAGGATGGGGATGCAAAGGATGGGGATGCAGGGGTGCGGAACGCTCTGTGCCGGCCCCGGCGGGGCAGAGAGGCGGCCCGGTGCTGCCGGCCCTCCCCGCGGGCTCCAGGCTGCCCACCCCACCCCATCCCACCCCATCCCACGGCATCCCCCGCGTACCGATGGAGCGCGGCGCGGCTCGGGCGGCGGGCGCGGCCGGGAGCACGGCCAGGAGCGCGGCCAGGGCCGGCAGCAGCGGCAGCGCGGAGGGCGGCGGGGCCATGGCGAGCAGAGCCGGGCCGGCAGAGCCCGCCCCGGCCCGCCCCTCCCGCAGGCTCGGCCTCCGCGCCCCCCGCCCCGCCCCGAGCCCCGCACGGCCCGGGGAGGAGGCACCGCGGGGCTGGGGATGGTGGAAGCCCCGGTGGAGAGAAGCGCTGAGGGGACGCTGAGATCCTGCGAGCATCCCGCTCTGCTGCTCTCCGCTCCTCACACGCATCCCACAGCACGGAGCTGCCCCGGGAGCACCGCGCTCCTGCTGCCAGAGCACGTTTTCCATGTGCTCCGTGTGCCCCGTGTGATGCTCACGGAGCTCGGGGTGAAAGGAGCAGGCTGGGTCCTGCCTGCTTCATGCAGCAGCAAGGGCGTTTCAAGCTTCTTCTCTCGGACTTTCTGCCCCGGGCAAAACAAGGTGCCTGACATCGAGAGGTTTGTGCCAAGGGCATCCCACGGGAGCCCGCTGCTACTCGGATTACAAAGGCTGAGCAAAAAATTCTCGAACAGGTTGGACGTGTAATTACAGACCCAGAGCCTGCTCCAGCCCAGGGCTGGCTCCTTACCAAGGGACAGAATTTTGTTTGAGAATCCACCACTTGAACTTTGTCTCCGGGAAACACAACACAAGCACAGGCCCCTTTCCTTTCCCCAGCCAGGAGCCACTCCAGACTTTCTGCACGGGGAGCACGGACAACCCTGAACCTCAAATGTGAATTTTTGGGGTGGGCACACACAAAAATTACCCCTGTTCGGCTCCCCCTCACAATGGGGAGGATCCCACCGGGATGGGGATTTGGGGTTTTGATCCCGAGCAGCTCAAAACACAGCACACAAATATCCTTGCAGCACATCTCGAGTTTTAACAAGCTCTTACTTAATCAGCCTGATTTCCCCAGGGCTGTGGGCGACAAGAAATCTGCTGTGCACACAGCAGGGCTCCCAGGCAGGTCAGCACTGCTCCCAATCCCCACCCAGCTCCCAGAAGTTCTGGAATATCATGCCATAAGCAAAATGCTTTGCCCCAAGCTCCGAGGCTTTTCTGCACACGGTGGTTTGAGAACTCCCAACTCTCACTGTTGCTGCAGAGAAAAACCAGCAGAGCCAGAAATTGCCTAATGCAGCAGCAGGATTTCCTGGGCTGGGGTGGTTACACCAAACAATGCCCGTGCATTTTTAGCAGGATGAGGAAAAGCCCCTGTAATGGGCCAAAACCCCTGCATCACGGCTGGCTTTGCTGGCAGATCTTTAGCACGGAAATATTGATCTCATCCTCATAAAGGCTACTTGTAAATGGTCTTTTGCAAACGCTTTTTATTGCAGGGAGAAGTGCCCGGGGGCATCCAGAACTCTGGGAGAACAAGGCCCACCCACACAAGGCAAAAGCAGGAATGGAGGCCCAGCTATTTTTGCAGAGAATGAAATCTGTTACAAACACACCCTTACAGAAAAAGCTTCGTCTTTTCTCCCACAAATCCCTGAAATCACAGCCTGCCGGTGGGTACAACAGTGTGAATGCACCCTGTAAATAAATGAACTCACTCTTAACTGCACAATCCTCTGGCTACAGCACAGCACACTCAGGGGCAAACAGCAGAGCAAAGATAAACCCAAATATCCAGATTTCAGCTGTTAGCAGAGCTCTGCTGAACCAATCACCACCAGAAAACATTTGTGTCCACAGTCATCCAGGAACAGACACAGCAGAAGGTGTGGAAATAGCACAGACTGCCACACCTGGGCAGGTGATCAGTGCAGGAATCACTGACACACACCCTGTTTGTGTGCATTTCTGGGAGTCCTCCTAAAGTATCGTTGATAAAATGTTCAGCCACCTGCTGCTGTGGCCCCTTCACAGACAATGGGATCAGGAAAAAGAAACCTTCCAATGTGAAGTCCCAGCTGGTTGGAGTTGGAATGAGCAACAGTTTGGGGCAGGGAAAAAGGCAAGAGAAGTCAGTGCAATTCTTCTGTTTTATTAGCAAATGGACAGTATCTGGACATCTAAAGGAAATCAGTCATTTCCAATATCAACTCAGATGTCGTTGTCAATTCCTTGCACTGCTCCCACACATCTCTGTCTTTCATACAGAAACCAGAACCTTTGGGTAAACAAAGAGCACAGAAACACACAAAAAAATACAATATATACACGTTTTGCCTCCACCTAAATGGCCTTAGATTTTTTGGAGATTAGCAATGCTTTGTTCGTTTGACTTTGCAAATAATATCGAAACACCTCGAGTTTTAAAATAAAAAAAAAAATACTACAGTATTCACAATATAAAACTTAAATACTTTTTTTTTATTTATTAAGGGACTGCTAAGAGCTGCTGAGTGATCACAGCTCTTCCAACAGAAGCTCTGGGGAAGTTAAGGTTCACAAAACAACATCCATTTCATTCTGCACTGCTCCTGGGGGAGAGTTCAGACCTTGCCATGCTCATGACAGTGCCACTGGAGATTTTTCCAGGTGTGGAAATGGCTAAAAGGTACATGACACTTCCTCTCCTGTGCTATTCCTGCCCTGTTCATGTATTTCTGTGTTTTATTAAACAGTCACTGGATAAAGTGACTGCAGAGGAGCAGCTCATGGGTCAGTCCCCTCCCTGCAGGGGTTACAGAAATAGGGCAGAAAAGGCAGCAAGAACCAAGGAGAAATTCAACCCACCCTTCCACAATCTCATCCAGGAACAAAAAAAAAAAACCCCACATCATTAAGTGTGCTTGAAAGGCAAGAGAATCAAAATTTACCTGGGAAATCTGGATTCTGTGATGGAATCCAGGTTTGGTTATTTCATTTTCACTTCACCTTTCAAAGGAAGCAGAAACTGGGACAAACAAGAGCTACAGGATTTATCTCTTTGGTAACATCTGTGAAAGAGTCTCAGCATTGGCTCCATTTCACAGGAATCATTAAACCTGGACAGGATCCTGTAGGGTGGGAAGGACTGCACAGGAACTGGACCCCTCAGATTCCTGCTGCAGCCACACTGCAGAGCCTCAGTGAGAGCAGACCCCAGCCACAAAGCTGAATAAATCATCTCTCAGTACAGACAGAAGGTCTGGAGTGCATTTTAGGATATTTCCTTAAGGCAGAAGTGGGTGAGTACTGGCTGAGGAGACAGGCAGAGTTGGCAAACCCAAGCTGGACTGAGTGGCTGTAACATTTTTTTTCACTGTCCAGTGGCTCCATGGGTGAGTTTAAAGAGGATTTGGATTCCATCACTCCTGGTCACACCCAGCTGCAGCCTCTCTGTGACAGAAAAATGTCTCTTGTGTAAAATACCTGTGTTTCTGTTTGGTTCCTTACAACTAAAGTTTCACTTTCACACTGCAAGACTCAGCTGATACAGCAGGGGCTGAAAATGCAGCACAGACCCCACTGCTCCTTCCAGCTGAGGATGTGGGTTCCTCACTTTCGAGGAGGAACAGCCAGGTTGGTAGTGCCACATTTCATATTTTAACCATTCTTCTCTGGAGAAACGGGGTACCCTGGTGACCTGTTCAGCACAAATGAATAGGAAGTCCTGTTTATCTCTGAAACTTCCAAAAACACAGTAAGAAAAGACACTGAACAAGAGGTTTTTCCATGAGCTAAAGCTGCCAGAAATGTTGTTTCAGGGCTGAAATCCCACAGAACCTACTGCACAGAGGCAGAAACCCACACTCCAAAAAGGATCCACTACAGACTCACACCACAGCTTGCCACTAAAAAAGGTTGCATGGAGCAGGTTAGAAATGTGCAGATTCCTTAAATTTCTGGGATGCCAAGCCACTAACTGCACACATTCTCCCCAGGTGAAAGACTGTCAATATTAAAGGCTGTGACAATCTTGAAGTCCACCACAAAAGGGTTTTTCAGCTGAAGCCTGCAAAGGAATGGCAGAAGAATAAATTTTCTTCCAAACCAGGGATGGCATCCACTCTAAGTAAAGCATTTTTGGAAGTGCATTTTTCAGCTTATGGAATCAATTCCAGAAAGTAAAAAGGAAGGAATGAACAAATCAGTAAGAAACAACCTGAAAACCAACCATTCCTAGTTTTGTGGCTGTATCTGTTCTTCTGCCATTTGACTGCTTGCTGCTCTGCAAAGGGTTAAATTCTGATCCTGCTCAGTGACTGCATCCTTTCAGCTGAGATAAATGAACTCCCAGGCAATAGGGCCAGTGGGAAATACATATGTGCTGTGACAACAACATGCCTCCAACCAGGAGGACAGCTCGAGGTCAGCTTTCACTTCCTCAGCCTTCTGCTTCTCTTGCTTTCTTGTCACTGCTGCTAAAATTGGTTCAAGGGCACTTGAGACTTTGGAGCAGAGCAGATTTTTTCTCCTTGCGTCAAAACCCAAAAGGTTTAATATTTACCAGGATCATTGAAAGTAGGATCAGAAATGGGGATTGGAAGTTGGTGTAATCTGAGGATCTCTACTGGAGAGCTGAGAAAATAGAACAGTCCAGATTTCCTGCTTAAGGGCACAGCTCCATTTTGCCAGCAGCTGCAACAGAGAGCACACAGTTTATCATGCTTGAAAGCTGCACAAATACCCACCAGGGAAGAGAAATTACTCTCCTCTAAAACATACATTTAGGTTGGAGATTAAGAGATGTGAGGACAGTTTTGTGGCTCCTCCACAAATCACCATTCCCTGTTTTACCTTTGGGAACCAAGAGTCAAGCTGGAATTTTACCTGGAGAAGGAATATTAACATTAGTGTGACCTAACAACTGAATTATTTTTAAACCCTTATCTCTATTCAATGACAGAGATTCCATGAATTCCAGATTGTTTTCTTGAAGCAATGTAAGAAAAAGCTGCCCTAAATGTCATTTCAAGTGATCATCTTCACCCCATCCAAGGAGTCTGGGGACAAGGGAAGACATCAAATCCAGGTGATAATAATACTCATCTATCCCTCTGGACTTTTCCCAGTGCTTTGCACATGAAAAGCCTCACCACATCCCTGTGAGGTAGGTCAGTATTATTACAGTCCCTTAATACAGCTGTGGAAAGTGAGGCAGAGAAGTTCCTTTCCTGCAGGAGTCTCCCTCAGAGATGGAACAGAGAGACAAGAAGAGAATTTCCATTTCTCTCCCTATTTCCTCTCTTCCCCATACAAACCTCCATGGAGAAATAAGCAGAGAAAGGGGCTACAGCCCCCAAAATTTCTGACAGACAGCAGCACTCCTACTGCTACTCCACGAGCTCCATTTAGGATTATTAAATACACAAGTACCTCGGAACGAACGGCGACCCCGAAACCGTCACACGACACAAAGCCAGCTCAATAAATAAGTAAATCCACGAAGCTGTGAGTGTCCCCAGCTCAGGAAGGTCCCAGGTGGGGCAGGAGAAGCCAGGTCACTCCTGTGCCTCCACGGCCACGCCGACCAGAGCGTGCCTGATGGTGCGGCCATGCAGTTTGTAGCCGTCCTGCGTGACCAGCGCCACCGTGCCCGGCTGCATGCCCTCGGCTGGCACGTGGCAGATGATCTCGTGGTCGTAGGGGTCGTACCTGCCACCAACAGGGTTCATCTTCTGCAGGCCATGCTTGGCAAAGACGCTCTGCAGCTTGGCCTCGATGAGGGAGAGGCCCTCGTAGATTTTTTTCAGGGTGGGGTTGGGATCGCTGGGCTCCGCCTGGCCCGCGGCGCTCTCGGTTGTCTTCTCCAGGATGTCTGCTACCTCCACCAGGTCCCTGCAGAAACTCTGGATGCCTGCAGGAAGGAAATGACAGCTTACAGAACATCCAGAGCTCCAGCAGCAAGGACAAAGTCACAGCGGTTTGAAGGCACCTTTAAAGCTGCTCATTGATTTGAAGTTAATTTAGAGAGAGCAGGTGGTGTCTTCTGATTCCTGAAACCAAAGCTTCAGAATTAAGAGTAACCTAAAGACTCCTCAAACCAGGATATATATGCACATCCATACCATGAACATAGATATATTTGGTGTTCCTGACAAAGCAGAGCATTAATGTCTCACTCCAAACAGTTTTTTGCAGCTCAGATTTGTCATTTAGGACTCTGCTCCACATCCCCTTCTCCCAGTCCCACTGACATAATTTTGTCACACAAATGCAACAAAGGCAACAAACACAATGAGGGGAAGCCAAAACAATGCATGGCTATTCATAAGTACAAAATCCCCAATTTATTCATAGCTTAAAACCATTGTGGAAGAACTGGACCAAAATGGTCCCTGGGTTGGTCATGAAAAGCCAGGCAGGTTTTGTCATTAGAAAAACAGGGTTAGATTGGCTGCATTTCCAGCAGTGGTTTCTTGCACAGTGCAGAAATTCCAGGAAAAGCAGCCTCCCTCAGTTACATAAATGTCATAACTCCCTGACTGGAATGACACATTAGGGAAACAGAGAAAATGAGGCAATCGTCAGGTGCTGTCTGCAGCTGTACATGTGAACAGGCACAGAACAAAGGCAGAGGAAGGAGATGCAGCAAAGGAGCAGACAGAAGCCCAGCAATTACCACTCATTTCACGGAATCAGAGTCATTCAGGCTGCTCAAGACCTTTAAGATCATCAAGTCAGCACTGCCAAGGCCACCAGTGAACCGTGTCACTGAGTCTCTTCAACACCTCCAGGGATGGTGTCCCCACCTCTTCCCTGGGCAGCCTGTGCCAGTGCTTGGCAACACTCTCAGTGAAGAAATTTCTCCTAAAATCCAATCTAAACCTCCCCTGGCATAACTTGAGGCTGTTTCCTCTTGTCTTACCTCTCATAAATTGGGAAAAGAGACTAACCCTACCTTGCTATGACCTCCTTTCAGATATTCCTCTTGTCTACAGGTCTCCCAAGTCTCAGTCTGAGAGCAATTTCTAACAAAGAACTTATTTTTTCTTCATGCTACTTATCAAATCCCAAGAGCTCAAAAAACCCTCTCAAAATCAATCATGCTGTTGTTGACTGTCTCCAATCTCAGCAGCCATTTTCCAGCAACATGGGTGGAAGGTAAGAAAATATAGCAGCTCTAATTTCAAGGCTGCTAGAATTAACTAACAATAAATCTCTTGAGATTCATGCATTAAGGAAAAAAAGAGTTTTTCATTCTCAGAGATGGTTCTGGCACAGTGCAATGCCTGAACAGCACTTTCTTCCCCCTTCACCTGTTTCTGCTGCCAAAGCTACAAATCCAGCTCGTTTCACTAATGCTAAAATATTTCTTTTAGGGGTTTTAAACATCTAATCCAGAGATTGACAACTGCTGCCCCAGGCTGCATCTACCTCCAATGAACTGAAGCAGAGGAGGTTGTTAATATAGCAAAGAAGATCACAACCTGATGACACAGCAGAGCCTGCATTTTCAACCAAGTCAGCAAAACTAAACTCAGCTGCACTGAGACTTTTAAAAAAAAATAGCCACAATTCTGTGATTCTATAAACCTGATAGGACAGAACACAGCTGGACACAGAGAAAAAATAGTGATTAAGCCCAAATATCAAAAGTCCAGGCCAAATATCACAGCAGGCTTTAAAATAAACGAGGCAGGGCAGGACAGAAAAGCTGCTGGTCAACATTTCCTGCTGAGGCAGGCAGGCCAGTGCAGCAAACACAGCTCTTGTGCTCACCAAAGAGTTTGGCATCTTCCACAAACTTCTGTGTTCTCCTCCGCACGTTCTCGGAATCTGCCAAAGCTTTCCGGTACCGCTCCTGTAAGCACAGAGGGGTCACATCAAACCAGGAGTAAAATCCCTTTCCTCACACTGGAAACCCCTCAAAAATGCTTTAAAAAGAAGGTTGTGCTAGGCTCCTGAATTTTCATACAAAGCCGAGTCCTTCTTGGATTAACCAAAAAGTGCAACTCTCTCAGAAGACCCAAGGAAAACCAAAAATACTGAATGACCAAATTCTTGAACAGCCTCTGTCAGGCTGCTGCTGAGATCCTGCTGTCTCCAGCAGGCAGCTCTGGGACAGCTGATTCCTCACTCAGTGCAGGATTCTCAGGGTGATCATCTCCAGAACAGCCCCAGTGCTGTGGTGTTTAATCCCCACCTCAGTCACGTGTGTTCTTCAATATAGAACCTGATTTCCAGCACACACAGGCACTTAAAATGATTTCCCTTCTTGGATAATCTGCATCCAGTGTGACATAAAGCTGTTAAGGAGTGACCAAAGGAGGGGCATGAGGATGGTGAAAGGCCTGGAGAACCTGAGGGTACTGGGATTGTTCAGCTGGAGGAGACCCAGGGGAGACTCCTTGGGGTTTGCAGCTCCAATCTCTGGGACAATGACAGGGACAGCACCCAGGGAAGGGCTGGAGCTGGGCCGGGGGGGGTTAGGGTGGATTTTGGGAAAGGTTTTTCTCCCTGAGGGTGCTGGGCACTGCCCAGGCTCCCCAGGGAATGCCAGAGCTCCAGGAGAGCTTCGACACCTCTCCAGGGATGCCCAGGATGGGATTTTGGGGCTGTTCAAGGCCAGGAGCTGGACTGGATGATCCTGTGGAAATTCAGGATATTCCATGATTCTATGCCACCATGTGACACTAATCAGCACAAAGCTAATGCCACAAGGCTGTGAAAGAAGTGACCAGCTCCAGCACACAGCTTTTCCTGCCAGGATCACTGCTCTCAGATGGTGTTTTGGGGAAGGCAGGGTAGAATTTCACCCTCTCACACTCAGGGCACAGCTACTCTGGAGCTCTGTGCGTGTCACAGCATTTAGGGAAAAAAAATCCAGGGGTGAAAACCAGACCAAGCCAAGGGGATTGAAGCAAAGGCATCCAGCACACTCACAGTTAAATCTCGGACTTGCTCTTCCAATTTGATGGCTCTGTGCTCCAAGGCACAGTCAGAGAGGGGGTGCTTGGGCTCCTCACTGGGCTCCTCTGGGCCACACTCGTCTCCTGTGCTTCTCTGCTGAGCTGCAGTGCTGAAAGCACCGGGGGACCCTCTGAAATACAAACTAGGGACAAAGAAACAAAGTTGAGTTAATGTCAGGGTCAAGGAGAATTCAAGATTAGGGTCATTATTAAAAGGAGGCTCTCTTAAAAAAGGTACACAGGACTCTAGACAGAATTTTAGTTCTTTTCAGAAAACACAGACAATGAGCAAAGAAACACAAAGAGGTGTTTTAAAATTCTTTTATTGTAGACTAATATGGCACACAGAGGCTTTACAGCACTTCTTTGGCATACCTTGAAAAGAGCCAAATTTTCACAGAAACACAGAATAAATGAGGTTGGAAAACACCTTCAAGACCACCAAGTCCAACCTGTGCCCAATCCCCACCTTGTCACCAGCTCAGAGCCCTGAGTGCCACATCCAATCATTCCCTGGGCACTTCCACCACCTCCCTGGTCTTTCCCAACAAATAATTCTGTGATTCCCTGATTTTGTTTTACTCTCCCTCCTACTACACTTGCTTTTACAAACCAACCCAGACAGGGCTCATTCCTGCCAGCATGAGCCTCAGCTCCACCTCCCTCTCACACCTTACACCAGGAAGAATCTGCAGAACAAAACAGAATTTACTTCCAAACCAGCTCCATTCAGGAGACATTTCAGTACACACCTAACAGGGAAGGGTGTATTCTCCTTTTTTGGGAATACCTGGGCTCTTCCTCTGAGCAAAGCTTTCAACACCCACAATGTTTTACATCCCCTCTGTGCAATGTTTTCCATACATTAAGTGCACATCTACACCGTGAAAGGCAGCACAGAAATCCCTGTGCTGGCACCAACTCTGTTTTTACAGAACAATTCCACTCTGTACAGAGCCACTGATTTAGATCCCAGAATCGATTCAGCTGAGATCACATTACCAGGCCTGCACTATTAAGCATTCTTCCTCTTTAGCAAGGCTGTATTGCTCAGGTTCAATGTCACAGAAGTGCACAGAGTTTGTTCTGGGGTCTATCAAGAAGCCTCAGTGCTGTTCAGTCCCCTGGAGCTGAGCAGAATTCAATCTCAAGGAGTTAAACCAGCTGAAAAATAACCCTATAAAACAAGAGGACTTTTCTCTCAGTGTCCCCGACTATGTGTGCTGACAGATCAGATCAGTGCCAGTGCCAGAACCAAAGAGAAGCCAAATATGTGAGATGTGGGGCAGGGAGGTGTCCCTGAGGTGCTTCAGACTGGCTCAAACCTCAAAGCCCAGCTCAAGAGATTTGTATCTGCCCAAAGACCACCAGGCATCTCCTCCCACCCTGTGTTTAGCAGCCCAGATGTTTCCTCATTTAAATTTAAATCCTTAATACCAGGTTGCTAAATGTCCCACAGCACTAATGACAAACTTCCTTTCCTCACCCGAGGACATTTGCATGTGCAGTTTTTATTAAGTGGGTACTGAAAAACATCATCTGTATATCAAACCAGTCTTTTTCAACAAATCATGTACCAAATACAAACCAAATTCAAACAGGAAACAAAAAAACAACCCACATTTCATCCCTGGCTGCTGTTTGGGGCACAAGACATCCCCATCCTGGATGACTTTTAAGATTCCTGTCACATCCATTTTATTGACTGATTAACAACACTTTAGAAGTAGATTAAACCAGAGGGGAGGACAGAGCAGGACCCCTTCACCAAGCCTTCAAAAAAAATCAATCTGAGGCTTTCTTTGCACATAAAAATGTCCTTGGGAAGCACCAGCTACAAGCTTTATCCTTTATCATCTCACATTTCGTTTCAAAGAGCTGCAGGGATGGAAATCAGCCATGCCACAGATGAACCAAAGAACCTGAAACGCAGCTCAGAAATCTCACTGGGCCCCTCAGAGGTGAAACTCCTGTGTTTTAAAAATAGGCTGTGCAGCTCAGTGAACTCCTCTGCACCCAAGAAGCCAAAGCTGGTGAGGAATTTCCCTCTTCCAGTGGTTACAGAGCAGGGATGGGCGTGTTTTTGCGTGGGAGAGGGGCATGGAGGAGCCAGTCCCAGCTGCCTACGTGGAGCAGGGAGCTGCCTGCATGGACTCCTCTCTGCAGCCTCTGAACCCAAATCCCAAATCCCAGAGTGCTCCCCCCGTGCACGGACATGCCCTGGCTATCACCTGCTGCCTGGAAAAGCTGTGGCCAAGAAATCACAGCCTGACTCCAAAGGGAATTCTTCGGGTTTGTTATGCAGGGTTGAAAATGCAGCTCAATTTACTCCTTCTTGCAGGATGAAAGGAATCCTTCCCAGCAAGTGGCAGGAGTTATTTCCAGGCTGTCCACTGCCTGGGCTCCATCTTCTAAAGGCTGGTTTGATCACAGCTACCCTAAAAATAGGCATGGATCCCACGGGAGGAAGCTGACACATCCTGAAGTGACAGACACGTGGAAGTCGTGGGGTGTGTGTGAAGGAGGTCACACAAATTGGTGTCACAGAAAGATTTACAAAGCCAAGTCACAAAAAGCCAAAGAGATAAGGAAGAGCAGAGAAGCTGATTGCAGCCATATGGCTTAAGCCAAATGTCCTTCAAGATTAATATTTCAGTGATGAGAGGGGGTTTCTGGTCAGAGGCACAACGGTGTCACCTCTTTTTGGAGCACCCGACCATTCCAAAGTGACAATCAGCTCTCTGAACTGCAAGGGTCCTTCCCCACCCCTCTGGAACACTCCCAAATCCTCATGACAAAGCACCCGAGTGCTGAGACACACAAACATCTGCACTGGTTTCAGCTCTGATGAGCCTGCTTTGGAAGGAAATTTAATTACTCCTAATTCCTCCACGCTGTTTCATCAGGGAGTGACTCCGGAGATAATTCAGTGCAAGGAGGGGATTGTCCCACCCTGCTCTGCACTGGAGTGGCCTCACCTCCAGTACTGGGGCAGTTTTGGGCTCCAGGATGTAAGAAAGACCTAAAACTCTTCGAGAGTGTCCAAAGGAGGAGCAAGAAGATGGTGAAGGACTCATTGCACCTTTTTTAGGGGGGCAAAGCACACCCACATAAGGGGGAGAATTTTCTGACATGCATCTACGTTTAGTCCCAAACACAGCTACCTCTATGATGTGCTGCAGATTTATTATGTTACATTTAAATAGTCTTTTGGTGGTGTTTCTCTTCTAGACAAAAAAAAATATTAACAGGCATTTTGGCTTTTTTCTTTTCACCTGCCCAGACTTCACTCAAATAACCAAACCACCTTTATGGATTTCTCTTTTCCAAGCCATATTCCACGATGTAAAAAGGCATGAGTGGACATTGTTTTTCTGTGTAAATATTGACACAATTAAATTGATTCTCTTCCTACGACCACCCACAACACACTGATAGCACATGTACAAAACCTGAGGAGCACATTAAACCCGTAATTAAAGAATGAATGGTTCAGCAGGGCGAAACACAGAACCCACCCACAGTGGCAGTAAACCACCTCCCAACGCGACTTACCGAGCGCGGAAAAGCTTTGCCTTAAAAATGAACATTAATTTACGCTCCTAAAAATCACTTTTCCGGGAAAAAGAGCTTTGTTACCGGGGGTTATTTCTGCCCCAGGGTATTTCGAGGAGCGGAGAAGGGCAGGGTGGGGTTTTGGGGGTGAGATGGAGAGAGGATGGAGAGCAGCAGAGTCTGGCTGTGGGTTCGGGGTCAGGGTCTGGCTGTGGGTTCGGGTCGGGGTTGGGGTCCAGATCCGACCCAGGGTCGTGGCTGAGGTTCATGTCCGGCTCTGGATCCGCTCCCGGCGCAGCGCCCGCCCGGGCCCGGCCCCGCGGCGCTGCCACGTCTGTCCCCGACATCCCCGCGGCTCCGGGCCACCCCTGTCCCCCCGGCCCGGCCCGGTCCCACCCGCCCCACGTACCTGCCTGTGCTGGCGTTACCAGCCTTGGGCAGCAGGGCCCTGAGGGGCCGCAGCGAGCGGGCGGCCATGGCCCCGCACAGACCGGCCGGGAGCGGCGAGGAGGCGGCGGCGGCGATGAGCCCGCGTCAGCGCGGAACTACAACTCCCACAAGGCCCTGCGAGCGGCCTGAGGTGAAGGCGGCGGCAATGAGCTCGCGTCAGTGCTGAACTACAACTCCCACAAGGCCCTGCGAGCGGCCTGAGGTGAAGGCGGTGGCAATGAGCTCGCGTCAGTGCTGAACTACAACTCCCACAAGGCCCTGCGAGCGGCCGGAGGGAGGGAGGGGAAGGCGGGCATGACGGGGATGTTCCGCCCACCGCCTCACAAGCGGTGCCGGGATGCCGGGACGGAGCGCCCGGGCTCTGGGTTTGGCGCCGGACACGGCTGCTGTGCCCCGAGACTCGGATCTGGACATGCGGGACTGGGAGCCGGACAGGTGGCCCAGGGCCACCGTGGTCGCCGTGAGGGGACAGGTGTAGGACACCTGGGGGACGTGATGGACAGAGGGAGGGGACAGGTGGTGTTAGCCCAGGGTCACCGTGGTCACCCTGAGATGACAGGTGAGACAGGAACACGTGTGGGACTTGTGTCCTCTAAGGTGTCCCCAGGTGTGTCCTTACCCAGGTGTGGTGCAGCGTGCCGCTGTCACCACCCAGCGTGGTGACATCAGGATGCTCTGTGAGCGTCCTCAGGTGTGTCCCACATCCCTCAGGTGTGTCACGGATCAGACCTGGACACTCAGCACCATTCCTGGAGCTCGGCTCTGGACACTGCTCCATCCCCCAGGACTCAGAGCTGATCCCAGCTCCTGCCCCCAGCAGAATCCAGACCTGGACACCAGGAACACAACTCCGGTCCCTTGGCTCAGACATGGGCACACAGCTCTGTCCCCCGGGATTTGGAGCTGGTCCCCACAGGGCTCAAACCTGGACGCAGTTCTGGTCACCCCAAGACACAGCTCCTGCCGCTGTGGGACAGCTTTCACCTCTAGTTCACAAAGGACTGGAACAGACTGCGAGTGTTTCTTATCTGTGGTGAATAGACATTAACCAAAGCCCAAAGCCTTGGCCAAAGCTGCTGACAACCGTGGGCTACCCAGCGTGAAGGATGAAGGGGGAATGGATTCAAACTGCCAGAGGGCAGGGTCAGATGGGATATTGGGAAGGAATTCTTCCCTATGATGATGCTGAGCCCTTGGCACAGGGTGCCCAGAGAAGCTGTGGCTGCCCCTGGAAGTGTCCAAGGCCAGGCTGGATGGAGCCTGGAGGAACCTGGGATAGTGGAAGGTGCCCCTGCCACCCGAGCTTTAAGGTCCCTTGCAACCCAAACCAGTCTGGGATTCTCTGATGTGCTTTCAGAGGGCTGCTTGTCCCAGCAGCTGCTGCCACAGGGGTCCCGAGCCCACCCCAGCCCCCTTCCCTTGGAGCAGGAGTAGCATTCCCACCCTGTTCCCTCAGCCAGAGGACCCTGCAGGCCAGTGCCAGCGTTTTTATTAAAAGCTGCTTACCTAGGTACTAACACAGGGCTGTGGAAGAGCGAGCTGCAGAGGTTAATTGTGGCAGTCCATAGCATGAGAGGGTGATGGTGACTCCTTTGTTCCCAGCACAAAAGCTGGGGCCTTTCTTTTCCATTCCTGTCCCTTGTTTCTGTCTGTGCTGAATGACCTTACTCTATTTCACTTTTCTGCTCCAATAGCCCTGCTGCTTTGTTATTTTTCTTAATTTTTATACTTCCCTTCACTCCATTTTGATCACATGCCTTACCAACCTGTGTCTGAGTGCAGCAGCCAGTGTGAGTGTGCTGTTCAGCCCTGTCTTGTTCCCTGCTCTCCCCAAAACCAGCATGGCACCAGGGCAGAAAGCTGGCCTGCCTCCATCCCCAGCCCTCTGCAGCATTTTCAAACAGTTTAGCAAAAGTAAAAGGTGTCCACTGTTAAATTGCTTTCCAAAGCTGACACTTGAGCATCCTTCATTCCAAGGGAAGGCAACATGCCCTCACCCTTGCTGCCTGGAGAACAAGAAGGAAATATTGGACAAAGGCACTTGGTTGAGGCACAGCAAGCTCGAGCCATGAGGAACCCTGAGATGAGACCCTGCAGATCCGGGAGCAGTGAGCAGGGTGAACAATCGGCATCTCCGAAGTGGCAGGTCCTGAGCAGCTCCTGAATCCCAACCCTGAGGGGGCCAAAACCCCCAACGAGTCAGTGGTTGCTTTGGCAAATGTCAGCCTGGCCACACGCTGATCCCAAAAAACTGGAGCACCTGCTGGGCAGTGCCAAATGCCAGCCCCAGGCTCTCCCTTCCTTCCTTCTGACCCAGAGTTTGTGTCAGACTCCCGGCTCCGGGGCAGGCTCCCCCCAGAGCTGGGTTTCCCAGCAGTTTGTGACTCTGATCCACAAGGAACTCCCTTCCCCACCCACCTCCCAATCCCCTCCCGCCCCCTTCCCCTGGTTTATAGTGTTGGTGGTGCTGCAGTGGTGGGGACTGGGAGATCGTCTTTTCCCACCACGCCTTCCCAGCACCCTCCCAGTGTCTTGGAGAAAGGGGGCTGGTAGCTCCTCCGTGATCCCCAATGTGTTTGGGGCTTGGCTTCTTTTTGTTTAAGTCTGCTTTTTTTCCCATTCCTGCAAAGAAAAAAAAAAAAAAAAAGGATGAGGAGACATCTCTGGAAAAGCAACACTTCAAGGCATCCCTCCCTACTGGGGGCTTTTTCCAAGTATTTTCACTGGAATTGTAGGGGTGATGCTTTCCCTCTCCCACCCACCCTGCACTTCCATGATTTCATGGTTAAACAAGGGACAAAGACAGATTTCTTGTGGGGCCAGGGAGGAGAGGGAGAGCTGAGCAGGACCTTGGCTTTCCGCAGCACGCTCCCCGTGTTGGCTGGGATGATGGAGGGGCTTCTCTTCCTCAACTCTGCTGCACAGTTCACAGGGACCAAGTGCTCAGGGGGGTTCCCATTTGGCTTGTTTGTAGCTTCCTGTGGAAAAGGGGGAGCAAGAAAAGCTCAGGAAACGCACTGACAACCAGAATATTTTTAAAAAATGAAGCATGAACTGTAACGAGATAAAAATTGAGGTGATCAAATTCAACTCGCACACCTCTGCCCACAACAGGACAAAGCCACGGGGATGTCCCCTTTCCCCTGTGCTGCTCCCCACAATACCCCAACCACAGTTTCTTGCAGAAGTTGGAGCTCCGAGTGAGGAAAAAGGGATGCCTACCACATTCTCAGCCTTGCTGGTCACGGCCAGCCCTAGGGCCGGTCCTCCTGCCAGCGACTGCTTCAGCTGCTCCTTCACTTCGGTCAGCTTGAGCTCCAGATCCACCCGGGACTCCTCCTTCTGCCGGCAGCGCTCCTCCAGCACCGCCACCCTCTGCTCCAGCTCCTGCAGCCTCGGCCCTGCGTGCACAGCCACAGCTCAGCGCTGGGAGAATCCACCCATCCTCCTGCGCAGCGACACTAGATGGGGCTGCCAGCCCGACAGAGCTGCAGCCAGCCCAGCTCCCGGCCACACTGTCCCTGTGACCAGCCCAGTGTCCCTGTGGCCAGGCCAGTGTCCCTGTGGCCACCCCAGCTCTGTCCCTGAGCATCTCGAGTGGCCCCGACCTACCCGTGCTGCCCTTCATGGCTTCCCGCAGCTCCCGCTTCTCCTTGCGCAGCAGCATCAGCTCGCTGCGGATCGCTGCCTTCTCCTTCTCCAGCTTCTCCTTCTCAGTCAGGAACCGCCTGGCGTCCTCCTCGGCCCGGTTCTTGCCGTACCTGTACTGGTTGGCACCTGCAGGCACGGGGAGAGCCCATGAAAGGCTGCACCGATGGCACCCGTGGTCCAGCTGAACCCACCCAGCAGCCGTGGCTGCACATCCCTCTGGGAACAGCTCCATCTCGGACTGGCCAGGAGCCCAGGGGAGCTTTGTGGCCCGGGGACTCACTGGACGCGTGTCTCTTCACTTTGACTTGCGGGTCCACCCGCCGCGACTTCTCGCTGCAGGACGAGGCGTGGCGCTTCACCTGAGCCCCTCCTGGCCGCCCTGGCTCCTCCTCTGCCTGCTGGGAGGAGAGACAGTGAGCTTGGACACCTTCAGGGCCATCCCAGCCCGGCCACGGCTCCCTGGGCCGGGAGTGCGGTGGGAGATGATGAGCCACGAAGCCGTGCTCACCTGAACCTTCTCATAGGGGACATCATCGTACACCACCCGGGAGGAGTCGGCTCGGTGATCCTGGGAGGAGCTGGCCCACCTGCAGAAGGAGGGGTGAGGTTTTCCTTTCCAGAACATCCTAGCCATCCCCTTCCAGCTCAGAGGGATTCCTGCATTTCATGACTCTACCCTACCACACCCTTCACCAGCACTGATGAAACCCTTTCAGCTTCCCATCCTGCTCAAGGGAACAACCCCTGGGGCGCTGACTGTCCCTGAGATCACAGCCCAGCCTGTGCCCGTTCTAGGGAATCCCAAGGGCCAAGGATCACCAAGCACTCAGCCCCTGGCACAGCTGGAGCACATCCTTACAGGTAGGAGTGTCTCACGGCCGTCACGATGTTGGCAATGGTCTCCACATCCACGTAGTCGTAGTGCAAGGCCTCTGGGGCTGTCTGGGAGCCTGTTTCCACCAACAGGAGACCCAGCCAGCGGCCCAGATCTTCCGAGCAGCTTGCCTGGAGGACAGAGGAAGAGTTGGGGTGCATGCTCAGCTCCCAGCCCCTCATCCTCACTGCCTCCCTACACAAAACCCTGCTGCGCCCAATCCCCCTCTGTGCACAAAGTTCCCGTATCCCGTGTTCCTGAGCTTTCCAGGGGGAAGTCAAAACAAGGCACCGCTTACACGGGACATTGATCACCCCAAAAATTACTCCCCCATCCTGGCACCCCCATCCTCAGACGCCTCACCTCGAGCGCCGTCACCTCGTGCCCGTGGCGCAGGATGCGGAAGGCAAAGGGGTGTTTGGGGCCCAGCCCGGGCACCACCTCGCAGCCCCGCAGGACGATGGCGTTGACGTGCGTGCGCAGGTCCGTGCGGTCCTTGTGG